CTTGTCTATAGCATCGTCTCAATACGGAGTATCATCATCTTTTTTTAATTTTCGTGATCATCATTATTGTTTAAGGAATTATTTATTAAATGGATCAGTTTAATAGAATGGGTATGTAGTTCAGAGAGTGCAGATGGGAGATAATATACAGATATTGAACACCTTGTCAAAGGGTATTGTAAAAATAATACCATTAGCTCCATTAAGCCTAGTCTTTGGGCTATTATATGTTTTCGATAATCATTTTTTTTGTCAATATTAAACAATTCAGAGGGTTCAGGTTTCGTTACATATTTTGTAATATATTTAGTGAAACCTGTTGATGTAATGTACTGGAAATTAATGTGTGCACACCAAATCAATAAGGTTTCAGGATGATAAGGAATGATGAATTTATCTTCTTCTTTAGTATGATGATAAATGTAACACAATTGATTAGAGAATAATGAGTTGTGTAGAATAAAGATTGAAAAAAACCTTTAGAGTATTGTAAATCATTAGAAAAATATTCTCTACATCTTTGACTACAGTGATGTATTTGAAACATCATTACTAATTCATACAAGTCATGTTCAGTATAAGGGTCAAGAACATCAGCTCGAATTGTATTCAAAGAAATAAGTTCGGGAATGTGTTTTTTAGTATAAGCAAAACTGTGTGTATGTATTGTTCCTCTGTTTTGGAATTCATCACGTTCAAAGTAATGTAACCATTTTCCCTATTGGATTAAATTGGTATTTTTTCATAATTTTATACGAATATTATTTAAATGGTTATGGTAGTGCATATATACATGGAATAGACGGTTAGTTGGTATAGGGTCTTAATTATCTGTAGAATATAAAATAGTATTTAGATGTGGCCATTTATCTTCAGCCATAGTTAAAGTAAAAAATAATTGAGGTTGACCGTATAAATTTATCATTGTATTGACTTGTTGTTGTTTTTTTTTTTGAAAAAAGGAGCAGCTGTTCTTAGATTTGAAGATAAAGTTGTAGTTTTAGATTCATCAAGTATATTCCAGTTATCATAAGAGCTTTTAGCGATCAAGTCTGCTCTTGTTGGATGATGTTCACGGTTTATGATTTGAGTTGCCAGTAATCTGTATTGATTTTGAAAATTACGACTTTTTTCAAGATTTAAATATGACCAGTAAGGCCAGTACCAATGCAAGCGAAAATAAGGATTGGGATATAGCATTTTCAATTTTATATATTTTCAATAGCTTTCAATTGAGAGTTGGAAGTTTAAAAGTTTTTTGACATCTTTATAATAACCCCGACCTGTAGAAAATAAATCAGGAAATATTAAAGCTTCGAGATCCGGATTGCCAAATAAAATCGGAAAACGGCTTTGGTTATTTAATATTGAACCAGCTATTAAACGATTGTAGTTAGAATCTTCGTCATAAATTTTATGAGAGAATAAATCATTAGGAACAATTAAGTCAGGCGGATGTGATGTTTCGTTGTGAAGTATACTTCGACAAAGATTAGAAAAAAGAGTAGGATCAACAATCGATTGTTGTACTAAAGGTAGTGGAAGAGGTATGGAATCACCTGGTCTTAGATTAGAAATGATGATATCAGATGCATATTTTTGGATAAGAGCGTTATTTTGTTTAAGCCAGTCTGAAGCTGGAATCAGAGAGTTATGAAACCAATTCGGTGGTTTATTAGTGTTCAAATAAGCACTAATTAAGCTAGAGTAAAGCTCTAATGAACGATAATTATGAAAAATATTGATTGATCCTTTAAAGTAACGATAGTTGGTATAGTAGTTTGAACCTGCGGTTTGACCTAATGAACAATCTAAATGAACAGGTAACAGATATCTTCTATGAAACATAGGGACGTCATTTATTTCAGAAGGAATAGAAGATAACAATGGGGATAACGATGTGTTCTTTGATTTTTACAGCTGTTACAAACAGCTATTTGTTGATCATTTTTTCTATTTACTCGCAGAGGCAAAGAAAGATTAGGAAAATCTGGAATAGCATATATGATTTATTCTGGTCATAGAGTATTCATACAATAGCAGATTCTAGTATAAGCATCGAACAATAAACACAAGGAATACTTGGATAGTCAAATAATAGTTTGGTTTGAAATTGGTTTAAAAGATTTTTAAGACCAGGAGAAGGAACCCACGGGGGGAAATAATTAAACGTCAAGAGAGATAAAGGGTCAATATTGGGTTGAGTAGAAAAATCGGATTGGGTGAGTGCGTTTGATAGATTTTGATTTATTTTATTATGATAAATATATGGTTCGAATAATAAAAAAATGGATTAGAAATCCATAGAGTTATCATAATCATCTTGATAGTTTGTTATGGGTGGATTTTGATTATATTTAGACATGTTTTATTTGTGAATAAAATTTATTGTTTTAGTGTGAAAATAATTCAGAGAATAGTATTCTCACAAAAATCAATCATTTTATTTATAGAATTATCAACGATATTTAATTTATTAAAGTTTAAATAATATACTTTGATAATCGTAATAGAGTAAATATTTTCTAGCGATCATAGTTAGATCATTAATGTAATTTGTTTTTCAAGAATTCTTTAATTTTAATAATAGGAATAAAAATCAAAACAAAGAGATGATTAAAGACAAATAGCGAGAATATTTTTTTATTTGAGTGATCGATTTAAGTTGGATCAACATAATCTACATTTGAAGACGTTGCTCATGTCAAGCAAAAATATTCGAACATTTTTTTAATGAACAAAAGAAATAACATATAGAAAACATAATAGGATTGAAAAAAAATAAATAAATAAATAATATTAAGGATAACATATATCAATTTTAATCAATCAATTCAGATTCATCATTATTTGGAATTTGTATAATAGGGGTTCCATTCTTAATTTGAGAGACGGCTTCTAAAAACTTATTATTTAATGATTGAGTATTACCATTTGGGGCTTTAGAGGAAGAGGCAACCGATAGTGGATTGATCCTAACTCATTTTCTAGAAGCCGTTTTTTTTTTTGCATATTTCTTTTCTATATTATCTAATTAATCTTCAAAGTCATCTTGAGAGGGCGTATTTTTATTATTAGTCAAATTAGACATAGCTTTATCCAAATAGTTCCATTCTATATCCGACACAACGATGTGAGAGATTTTTTTTGAGCCTATTTTCAATCTCCCTACAACTGAAAAAATGGTTTTAGATAAATTATCTTTTAAAGCATTATACTACCTGTATTTATTACTGTAAGATACAATCACATTTGTATCTAAATTTTTGTAACCATTAATACTATTATAAGACTTTCTAAACAATTCAAAACTTTTTCTACCACTATCATTATTGATATAAGAATCGAGTATCATAGGAGAAGAATACAATAACAAAGGAGCTGAATAGAGAAAATCATTATGGGTTAGCTTATCATTCTTGACAGACATGGGTATACTTTGAATCAACGTAAGCTTAAAATAAACAACAGAAGGTAAATGAAACATATTGCAGCAAGAGATACAAAAAAAAAAGTAAATTGCATTTACATATTCTACGTTTTCTTTGTATACATATCGACCCACCATCAAAACAATCTAGTTTTTTTCAAATTCAGTAATCAAAGAGTCCACATTATTCATATAACCTTTATAAATAATTTGGCTAAAATTATCAGACATAGTATTGATCCTATACAACGCAGTGCCGGTCAAGTAGTTCGCATTTCCGCTGACTGTTTGAACAAAACAATAAGAAATGAAAATAGACGACTTTTTTTTTTTTATTGATTATGATTATAAAGGTAAACGAATGTCTTGTATTTTATTTTATTTTATTAATTTCACGAAAACAATTTGGTTAACAACTGAGTAAAGTGCTTATTTTTAATTATTATCCCAAAACGAAAAGAAGAACGATGATAATAAGAGATAAAAAAATATACAGAAAAAAAAGAAACATCTAAGCAGTATTTATTAAAAAAACAAAGAGCATTGCAAAAGACCAATTGAAACAATTTGCTAAGCATTCGCAAGAATCTGGTCAGATATTCATAACTTTTTTGTATACACATTTTTTTTTCTCTTGATTAATTATCTAAAAAAGCCA